GGATCCGAATTTGTTTGATGCTGTCGAGATTTCCGATTTAATTATTCGATCGTTAACCAGATCTCGGAATTAAATCTTATAAACGCGAGTTACCACAAACCGTAAATCTTAAGCACGAGTTACCGTGGAGTATTTCTCAATTGATTATTGAATAGCTAAAGAAAGAATTATAGAGTACAGTTCAAATAAGTTTTTATTTCTCAACGAAAACATAATATACAAATAAAGTTTAAGATTAAAGTACGATAAGTTTGTCATGTTCGCATGATGTAAATAATTATGTATATAATTATTAAGCACTAAGAACGAGCTTTGTTTGCTAGCCTTTTATGAAATGAATAATATACAAAGTTAAATGCAGTGCTTAAAAATAAACATGTTTTACAGTTTTAAATAAATAAGTTATTTATCGGAAAGTAAGTTCCGATTTTGAAAAAGGAAAACAAGAATATTGACATTGGCAGGATCAAGACAACATCTTTTTGGAGTTATAATGTTTCCACATGTAGAAAACACCCTTTCAGATCCAGCAGATGATGCTGGTATACTGAGATATTTCTTCGCGAGTGGTGCCAATGCTGGAAACTTCTTCTCATTTATTTTCCACCATTCAAAGGGGTTCGCGTTGTGATTTATCTGTGGTTCTGCAATGTACCGTGCGAATTGGGCTTGTGTAGTATATTGATTTGGTTGCGTTTGAAAAAGAAAATTCAGAGCGCTCTTTTCTGGCTTTTCAGTGTTCTCAACAAAATCGAGCCCATCGTTAAGCATCGTACGAACTGTGACTTTCACGGCCTCTTTTGCTTCTACTTCTTCGGCGCATAAATCTTTGTACCTCGGATCAAAGAATGAACCGATTTGTCGTGCAGTGACAGTTGAATTTTCATTCCAATCCATATCGAACCGCGTACTGAGTTCCTGGCATATCACTTCTTTGAATTTGCTGAGCAAATCATCGTTCAATACATTATGATTTAGATGATTCTCCAACAGTGAACGGACGATTGGACGAACTATCGAGAAGGGCGAATTATTAGCACATAGTACCGTAGTTGCTACCTGTAAGGGCTTGAGCACATTGACCAAATTCTCCATAATATGCCATTCGTATTCTGAGATTTCCAGATTCTGAGCGACTTTTGATTTGGTTACAGATTTGTCGGCGAGGACACTTTCCACGGGACGTCTATTCTTTAAGAGGCGTTCAAGCATATCGAATGTAGAGTTCCAACGAGTAGGAACGCTTTGTATCAGCTTAAGCACAGGCATCTTGAGATTCTCTTGATTTGCTTTTAATGCTTCACACGCTATATTTGAATGACGGAAATGTCCGACCATTTTCCTTGCTTTTTGACAAAATGTTACAATTTCTTTGATATCCAATCCTTTGGATATTGCAAGCTGCATTGTATGTGCTGCACATGTTGTCCCCTCATTTACTGTCAAATTTGGTATAGCTTTGACAGCGTTCGTTATATTTATAGCGTTGTCCGTAACAACAGTTGTAGTTTTTTTGTCAATCTTTTTTTTTTCGAGGGTTTTCTTCAGTTTATGACCATTGTGGAACTAAATTACAAACCTATAAAAGAAGATGCACTAAAAAAGAGGTTGCGCGCTCTTAAAGAAAGCATTGAAAAATCCATAAAAGCAGAACTGAGTAAAGCTTGTAGAGTAGCTTGTACGCCAGATTGTTGGTCGTCTGCCGCTCAGGAATCGTATATCACCATGACAGTGCACTTAATTAACCCAGTGAACACAATGCAACATGTAACGTACAGGTTAGTTGTAATTTCCTACTCAACAATATAAATGCAATGTAACACGTGTGTTATGTTACATTCACTGGGAATGACAATTAGGTACAAAAATCTTTCACTTTTAATACAACTGAAGTGGATGCGCCACACATAAGAAAATCTCGCTAATAAAATGGAAAATATATTCGAAGAATGGAAATTAAATGACAAACCTGTAGTTAGTGTGACTGATAATGCTGCAAATGTAGTCAAAACTGTACAATCTATAGAATAAGTTCAGGAAAAATTTAACGTAACGTGTACTGCTCACAGCTTGCAATTAGCGGTGAACTTACTTCTTTCTGATGATATTCAGTTTTTAGTTACTAAAGCCAGTAAAATAGTGGGCCACTTTAAGCATTCAAATGTTGCAAAGTATGCCCTGAAGGAAAAACAAAAGTAATTAGATTTGCCGGTATTAACACTCTTGCAGAGTTACAATACAAGGTGGATTTCTATATTTTTAATGCTTGAAAGGCTCACTCAAAACAGAAGTCCAGTGATGAACGTCTTAGCAGATCGGGAAATCACAACTGGCGCTGCAGCTGAAAAACTTGAACTTGAAATCTTACAAAGAGAGTGGATAACTATGGAAAATTTTGCAAGAATCCTTGAGCCTGTTCAAATGTTGGTAACCTTAGTTCTGTGTAGCGAAGACGTTTCTGTATCCGTGGTTCGACCCCTTATGGAAAAACTATTGCAAGAACATATGATGCCTCTTGATAGCGATTTTGAGATGATTAAAGTCTTTAAAGATACTTTGTTGGATGGTTTAAAGTGGCGATTTGATTTAGAGTGGAATTCCGAACTCAATATTATCCCTATTCACTCCAACGTTTTTTTCGCCCCAATAATCCTCCAATCATGCACTTTCGAGTCCCACGTGTTTTTTATAATGTTAATAGCTTTGAAAAATTCCCCAAAAATTATTATAATATCTTTGTACCTTCGACTAAAAATTAATGTAAAGAACATTTGGAAATCATTTATTTAAATATTTTTTTACAACAATTATATGTTGACAAACACACGTTACGACTCGTTTTACTTAAAAAATCATAACTCACGAACAAATTGACGAAGCTTAATGAACCAAAACGCAAATTAAAGCTAAAAGTAGTGCAAATGAGAAAAAAAATATGAGATAATTATTAATTAAATAAGAATACTTAATTTCGTCGCCGCAAATTTGGTAATTTTTAAATGGTACAGAAAGACTTTAAGGACTTAAAGAATGCTAGAAAAAGAATTTCTGAATAAGAAAAGGCAAATTTGAAGTGTGACAAATATTTTTTATGTAAAAAAATTAATTTTTTTTTTATAATCGTAGCTCCTCCCCACCTCTTCCACCTGCCTCTGAGCCATAATAGACCTCTGTGGAATGTTAAATTTCTTTTTTAACGACAAAAATATTTTAAATACGGTTAAATTATACACAAAAATACATTTTTATCGAAAAAAATGCTCATTTACCTTTCACACAACACTGACGTAATCCTCCATCCATGCACTTTCGTGTCCCACCGAGATTTTGATTGTTCCCCGTTTCGAGAGTAAATGAGCTAGGACTTTGAAATTTTTACCTGAGGTTCCCTGCCACAATAACTTTTTTCCGGCGTGGAGGGGATTCTCCCACGATCATTTGTTTTCCGGAACAAACGATTGTTAGAAATTCGTGGGACACGAAAGGCATGGTTGGAGCGAATAGGGTTATTTCTACAAGACAGATTGCTTCCATGCTGTATCCTAAGGATCTCCATCATGAAAGTCATGATGCAAAACTAGCTATTCGCAATGCGGTTAAAGAGTTGTTGAAAGAAAGTGCTGTATGTCAGGATACAGAAAGCGAAGTTTGTAAAAAAAAACTCCTTTGGAATTTTTATATAAAAAAAATAGCAACAAAATAAATAAAGTAGAGAATTAATGGGAAACGTACTTGCTGAGTACGTGGCTGAGCCACTGTTAAAATTTGATATAATCCGTGTAAGTGGTGGAAAAGTAGAAAAGATAAATATCCAGCTATTGCACTTCTTGTAAAAAGATATTTGTATATACCAGCTACTTCTGTATGCTCTGAATGCTGCTTTTCCACTGCTGGAAATATTGTTACGTTCAAAAGAACATCATTGCTTCCTTACAATGTCAATATGTTAGTATTTTTGTATCAAAATCGAAGGTTATTAAATCAAGAACCCGAAGCAATTACAGCAGTAATAGAAACATTGCCGACAGTGTAAATCACAAAACAAACAAGTGCAACAAATTACATAAGTTTCTCTCTAAATCTGAATGAGTGAAAAATCACTGAAGTGGCATACTTTACACTGATATCAGTGAATAGTTACTGATGCGTTCAGTAACTATTCAGTAATATCAGTGTAAAGTGTAAAGTGTGTTACTTCAGTGACTTTTCATTGATTCAGATTTAGAGAGATAGCGTACCCTCTTGCCATTTTTTTACAAAAATAATAGAAATTTTTATACAATTTATTTTTGTGACAAATGCATATTTAATTTATATTTAAATAATGCATATTTATTATTATATTTTAGTTTTTTTTTTTTTTTTATTAGTTTTAGGATTGGATAGAATTAAGGTACATTCGGTATAATTGGGCGCTGTCGCGACAGCGAACGCCCCTGGCGCGAGCACAAACAACCCTCGGGCTCGGCACAAATTCGCCCGAGACTACCCGGTTGTCGCGCCTACCGTTCCGACCGCGCGATTATAAAACGCGCACGCGTTTCCTAATTTGCGTACACCGCGCAACGCGTTACATCGCGGATCGATGTGATTCGTCTCCATTATCTCGCGGATCGTTCTTCGCGAGCCAACGGCCCCCGTCGAGGGTCTCCTATTGGGACGAAAGGCGATCGATATCGATCCGCGCTCTTTTCTGCCTCTCTAAGGAGAAAGTCGAGCCGGCTGTTCGTGACAATTAGCATCTCGGGAGTGTTCTCAAAAGTAATTCTGCGACGTCCGTATTGTTTCATCGCGAGCCGCACCCGCTCAATAGGTCGCCGCGTGAAACATCTCAAATCGCTCTTTCGTTTACGTGAAGCGAAGAGTGAGCCGGTTTTTGTCGCGCTAGCACCCGGTCGATTGGTCATCGCGCGAATTCCGAGAAGTTGGGTTACGCATAGAGCACCCCGTGCAAAGGGTCGCCTTGTGCGCACAAGTTTCGTCGCGATCTGCACCCGCTCGATTGGTCGTCGCGCGAAACGTTTCATTTCGCAAGTTTTTCCGTTTGCCAGCAATACGACGTGGCGAAGCCAAGGGACGGATCACGTGATCACTGCGTGCGGTAGCGTGATTCTTCAAGAAAGAACCATGTCGACGGCGAGACCGTGTGAACGACTCAAACCCGGTGTTCGCGAGTGCATCTCGAGCGTTGCGATAACCGCGTGGAAGCTCAGACGAGCAGTTCTTACAATATACGCAGGGAGTTCGATCCCAATATTGACCCCGCTCGCGGCCATCTTGTCGTACCGCGCCGTTCTCATCGTTATCGCGGAATGACCGCGAGTAGGTAAGCTAAGAGAGTTCTAACCCATGGGGCAATGAGGGGGGGGGACCGCGGTGAAGGGCGAGGGGGGAACCGCGGGCGGGGGGGGGAACCGCGGAGAGGGGCGAGGGGGAGGGGGGAACCGCGTGTTTCGGGCGCCGCGGGGGAGGGGAAGGGGGGAACAGCATGTTTCGGACGTCGCGGAGGAGGAGGAGAGGGGAACCGCGTTTTTCGGTGTCGCGGGGGAGGGGGTCCGCGTTTTTCGGTGTCGCGGGGGAGGGGGTCCGCGTTTTTCGGCGCCGCAGGGCGACCGCGTTGTCGCCACGCCGCGGGGCGAGGGGGGATCCACGTTTTCGCCGCGCCGCGGAGCGTTCGCGTTTTCGGGCGCCGCGGGGCGAGGGGACCCGCGTTCGCGTTTCGCCGCGCCGCGGAGCGTTCGCGTTTTCAGGCGCCGCGGGGCGAGGGG